TTTCCTCCCGCGGCGCGCAATTCAAAGGCGCTCGCGCTGGAGCCGCCCAATCTGTCGCCCGCACCCGGAGGGACGATCCTGGCGCGCAGCCAGGAGGAACCCCTGGAACCGCTGCCGGTTGGCCTTAAGCCTGGGTGTAGTGGGCCACAGCGCCAACCCCTAGGTGGGTGACTCGGACCTCCGGGTGTGCATGGTTTCGACCCTTCCAGCTGCCTACCTCGGACTCCAGTAGCTAGCTGGGTCCGCTGCAGGGTGGGAAAGGACCGGGAGAGTGAGGAAGTGAAACTTGGGGTGAAAACCACGGGGTGCAGACCCCGTGACTTTCCCCACCCAGGATAATGTGACTCTAACGTCCCAAATACACCCAGTGATAAACATGGGGGTGGCAAGAGAGACCTACCTTCCAGAGAAGCGCCCGGAGGTGGGGTGAGGTGGAGTAGAGGAGTGCTGTTTGCTCACTTTTAGCACCCCCATAACCCTAAATCCCCAAAGATCCCCAAAGTCTTTGGCATTATTCCTCTTTCTTCACTACGTGTGACTTGAAATGCAGTGGCTTGTGTTTAGACAGATGTGAGGAAAACAAGGTTTTGCCCCTAAAAAACGTTGTCTTTGGGGGGAACCCCACCATCATGTTCCGTTTTCCTCTCTTCTTTCCTTTGCCTAATCTTCGTACAAAAACTTAATCCCATCTCCTCCTCCAACGCAGATTTAGCTTCACACCTCTCGCTCCCACCCTACAGCGCCTGGGAGTGACTTCTTTTGTGTGACCGGAGTTTTTTTTGTTTTGTTTTGTTTTGGTTGGTTTGGGGTTTTACTTTTTTTTTCCCCCTTGCCTCTCGTGGGCGGGCAGGAGAGTTATCCAAGACTAGGCTGTGAAACCCTTAGAATCTCAACGTCCTTTTGTTCTTAACAAAGACTCCTAATTGGTTCCACTAAGGGGAGGATAAAGAAGTGACTGTGAGGGAAGATGGAGAAAACCATCGGTTGCAGGATTTTGTATTCTCTCTGGACCTAAGCCAGCCTTTTGGAGCTTCCTGGAAAAGGCTTGGTTAAAACCTGCAATAAACGGCTAGGTGGTTTTTTGTTTGTTTTGTTTTGGCACCAGAAAACTTAAAACTTGGGAAAGGCTTGTTAACCTTGTAAGTGATGTGCATGTCCCTGTTTTCTTTTGCAGATATACACTGCAGATAACTATTCTGAAGACATAGGTTCAGGAGACTATGACTCCAACAAGGAACCCTGCTTCCGGGATGAAAACGCCCATTTCAATCGGATCTTCCTGCCCACCATCTTCTTTATCATCTTCTTGACTGGCATAGTGGGCAATGGCTTGGTGATCCTGGTCATGGGTTACCAGAAGAAACTAAGAAGCATGACTGACAAGTACAGGCTGCACCTGTCTGTGGCTGATCTCCTCTTTGTCATCACGCTTCCCTTCTGGGCCGTTGATGCCATGGCTGACTGGTACTTTGGGAAATTTTTATGTAAGGCTGTCCATGTCATCTACACTGTCAACCTCTACAGCAGTGTCCTCATCCTGGCCTTCATCAGCCTGGACCGGTACCTTGCCATTGTCCATGCCACCAACAGTCAGAGGCCAAGGAAGCTGCTGGCTGAAAAGGCAGTCTACGTGGGTGTCTGGATCCCTGCTCTTCTACTGACTATACCTGATTTCATCTTTGTTGACGTCAGCCAGGGAGACGGCAGGTACATCTGTGACCGCCATTACCCTGACAGCCTGTGGTTAGTGGTGTTCCAGTTCCAGCACATTGTGGTGGGTCTTATCCTGCCAGGCATTGTCATCTTATCTTGCTACTGCATTATCATCTCCAAGCTGTCACACTCTAAGGGCCACCAGAAGCGCAAAGCCCTCAAGACGACAGTCATCCTCATCCTGGCTTTTTTTGCCTGCTGGCTACCATATTACATCGGGATCAGCATCGACTCCTTCATCCTTTTGGAAGTCATCAAGCAAGGGTGCGATTTTGAGAGCCTTGTGCACAAGTGGATTTCCATCACTGAGGCCCTGGCCTTCTTTCACTGCTGCCTGAACCCCATCCTCTACGCTTTCCTTGGAGCCAAATTCAAAACCTCTGCCCAGCATGCACTCAATTCTATGAGCCGAGGCTCCAGCCTCAAGATCCTTTCCAAAGGAAAGAGGGGTGGACACTCTTCTGTCTCAACAGAGTCAGAGTCCTCAAGTTTTCATTCCAGCTAACACTTATGAAAAGACATATATATAATATATATATGATAAAGAACTTATGTTACACACTTTCTGATATAAAAGACTGACCGATCTTGTACAGATTTTTTTATTGATTGTTGGAGTTTATGTTTCTTTAGTTTTGTGAGATTTGACTTAATTTATATAAATATTGGTGTGTGTTTATTTCATGTAAATGAGTGTCTAGGCAGGACCTGTGGCCATGTTCTTAGTTGCTGTGTGTCTGTGTGTAGGACTGTAGCATTGTAGAAAGAAGAACTGAACATTCCAGAATGTGTGATGAATTGAATAAAGCTAGAAGTGATCCTCAGCTGTTGCTGCATAATCTCTCCATTCCCGAGGAGCACACCCCCACTTCCCCACCTACCCCCATTCTTTAATTGTTTAGTTATACTGTGTGATTTTTCTATGAAGGATGGCACTTAAAACCAAAGCCTGACACAGTTAAGAAATGCTGGTTGTTCAGTGGATTGATTATGGTCTTGTACAGTCTTGTATTAAGTTGTTAATAAAACTCAATGATAAACTTACTTGGTGTTGTGCTATGTTGTCATTTCTGATGGCTGTCAGTAAGAAAATGTTTGGAAAACACATTTGTGGCTCAGCAGAGATCCTCCTGGGCTCACATACGTTCATATGCATGATGCATTTGGTGTTCAAGTCAACTTTAGATGTTCCTCGGAACCTGCCACACCTTGTTTTGTTTTTGTTGTTGTTTGTTTTTTGAGGCAGGCTCTCTCACTGGCCTAGAACTGGGTAAGTAGATAAGTAGACTAGACTGGCTGGCCAGTAAGCCCCAAAGATCCAGTCATCTCCCCGCTCCCCAGAGCTGGGACCAAAACATGCACCATTGTGCCCAGTATCTTACTAGCATTGTAGGAATCAAGCTTGAGGTCTCATGCTTACACAGCAAGCACTTTACCAACGCAGCCATCTCCCCAGCCCATCTTAAGTGTTATATAATATTTTACTTTCTGCTTCTGTTATTACATAACACTTATAAAGGAGGGAACTAAGGCACAGAAAGCGTAAGTAACTTGATCTAAGGTGTGGGACAAGCCACAACCAATGTGTCAAAGTCTGTGTCAAGAAGCTGAAGCCTTACACTTTCAATTCATGGATGCTTAAGCATATTTGTGCAGTGCCCATTCCCATGAAGGATTGTCTTCAGAAAGATGTGTGTGCATAGAGCAGGAAGGGTACAGGATGCTGTTTGCATTTCACTGCAGCTTTCCATCTATCCTCTAAAGGGAGTCAGGCTAAGTGCTGTGTGTATCATCTAGTGTGAGTGGCATCCCTCCCTGTTTACAGAGGTGGGAGCGGAGGCACAGACACTTGGTATAACTTATTTTCAACGGACACAACCCAGAGTTGACACCATTTATACACCTTACCCAATGTTGTCCTGCAGAACACCTGGTCAGATGTCAACTGAGTTGTTGCCAAATACAAGGCCAAAAGTGAATGTTTTCTTCATAAAATTAGCCATAACCAAAATACCCTCCTTGAAGTATCTTCTATGCAAATCCCAGCACCTTTATTCTGACTCTGTTACCAACACCGAGCATCTCCTGAGGGGCTCAACTAAAGCAGCTAAAGATTAGTGCTGTTTTTTTTGTTTTTTGTTTTTTGTTTTTTTTAGGGTTTCAATAACTACTGAAGCAAGCTCTCCTCCATTGCCTGATTTTGCACAAGACTTTAGAGCCTTATGTAATAACCTAGAGCTATTTGCACTAACATTGTGCAAGCCCAAACTCTTGAGTAAATTGCAGGTCCGGTCTCCATTTAAAGATAACTTCTCATCTACCATGGCTGTGCCTCTCCCACTTTGGAACACAAATAGGATGCTGAAGGCATACTCCCAGATAGTAAGTGAGATATAATTAAGATAATATTTGGTCTCTTAGTAATTGTTTCTGGCACAGAAAATCTGTTTGGGAAGGAAAAATTGCAAAGCCTTATCTTTCTTAGGCAAATCACATTTGTTCAAGACAAATTATAAATCCTGTGAAGGGAAATAACTTAATTACTTAAAATAGAATCTAATTTAGCTGTATTTTTTTTTTTTTTGCAGCCTATGGATCCGGGGTAATTCATGCCGGTGTTCTTATTCCACTTGAAGACACAATTAGATTTTCAGTAGGAAATTATCTTGAGGTTTCTTGCCTTCCTCTGGGGAGTCTTAATTGGATCACGCTTAGACATAGTTTTAGATGTGCCGGCTGGAAGGTTTGGTCTTAAAGCTGTGACCGTTGTGGCGGGCTTCATTCGAATCTGCTCCATAAATATTTATTCACAGGGAGACAATAGGAGAAATCCTTGAGAGGAATTCTTTTTCTTTTTGCATCTTGGCTTGAAACTGCCCCAGTCCAGATTCCTCTCCTTTGCCTTGGAGCCTCAACAAAAGGAACTTAGTCGTGACCAAACTCCCAGCACCACCAGTCTTCATGGATATTTCATTCTCCCTGGGAACAAAGGCTGATAGCTCCTTCTCAAAAAAGAAAAGAAAGGGTTCAAAAAAAAAAAAAAAGGCTTTATTTCCTCCCTCCTCCAAAAGGGTGCCCCACCCCCAGTCATTCTCTGTCCCAACTGTGTCATGATGAACTGCTCCAAAGTGGTCCCTGTGTCCTGGTTTGTCTGGCAATGTAAGGAAACCCAGTCTGCCGGCCAGCCCTCACATGAAGTAACTGATTGTTCCTTGGACTCCTCCCCCATGAATGGGGCTCTTGAAGGTCAGTAATGTAGCTGCAATTGTCTAATGGAAGCTAAAATATTTAAATTGTATGCATGGTGCCAATAATGGTATGAATATGACATCTGACTTATAAATGACACCAGGTCTCTAACTGGGCAGGAACCTGGATGGTTTTTATCTCAAAACCAATTTTTGTTTTCCTGAAATGCCACTACGTGATCTATCTTTGCAGTCTGTGGGCTTCCCGGCCCTCTTTCATGGTGATGTTTGTGTGAACAGAATCATTCCAGGGTGCTTTTTTGGGAGAAAACGGACTTTGTTTCTGTGGTTTTGTATCTGTGGTTTTTTTCTCCCATCTGATACTCAGACACCAGATAAAGGCCCGAAAACAATTGGGCATTGTTGTCCAGTGTAATGCTCATTTAGGAGAACCCAGGAGCCCTAGAGAAAAGAAATTCAAATCACCATAGAAAGCAGACCAGCATCCCTGAAGCACTTAGAAACGTGTTCTTACAGCCCAGCATCCTGAGGAGGCAACAACTCTCAGGAGCTCGTTTGCCAGTCAATGCTAAAGAAACCCCTCAGGAAGTCAGAACGACATTCCCATTACAACCTAAGCGGAACAGTGGTATTCTGGGACCAAAAGTAAGGGAAATTGATTCTTCAAAGGCAGTGGTCCTCAGCTGGCAGCCACATCTCCCTCCAGGTAACATCCTGGTAGGTCCTGGAAACATTTGATCCTATTGAAGGGAGCAGGAGATAAGCACTAGAGACCATAGATGTTGCTTCAGATTCTGTAATACTCACAAAATCACCTGCCACAAAGAGCTAGCTGACCCCGAATACACAGTGGTATTCCAACTTTAGAAACCCCCCTTTTAAGGGGGTTAACTCTATCAGTAACATGCTTAAAAAGGAGGAGGTGGAGACAGGCAGGCCAATCCACTGGGCTTGATGGCCAGCCATTCTTCCCTACTTGGTGAGTTCAGTCCTACGAGAGACCCTGCCTCAAAATAAACAACAAAAAAATGTAGATGGCACCTGAAGAAAGACAGACTCTGTGTTCTGTGCGTGCACCCACACACACACCCCTGCACATTTACACACATACACACTGTGGCAGTTTAGATGAAAATAGCCCCATGGACTTATAGCAACTGGCACTATTGGGAGGCGTGGTCTTGTATGTAGGTGTGTCACTGGGGGCAGGCTTTGAGGTGTCAGATGCTCAAGCCAGGCCCAGTGTGGCTCACTGTTCTCTTCCTGCTTTCTGCTGATCTGGATGTAGAACTCTGAGCAACTTCTCTAGCACCATGTCTGCCTGTGCTTCTCACCCTGATGATAATAGACCAAACCTCTGAAACTGTTAGCCAGCCCCAATTAGATGTGTCTCTTCACAGCAATAGAAAGAAACCTTAACTAAGACACACACATGCACACTCATGCACACACACATGGACATCTGCACAATCACACATGTACATACACATGGGTACCTATACAGTCAACATGAATACTCATCACACATACACACACACACTCATTCACACAAAGAATCCTATTTTAAGGTTACAATGCTTATGAAAATAAGGCTATAGACAACCAGTATTTCTTTTTATGTAAATTAATTATGTCTCTCTCTCTCTCTGTGTGTGTGTGTGTGTGTGTGTGTGTGTGTGTGTGTGTGTGTGTGTGTGTGTGCAAGCCTAAGCACATGTGTGGAAGTCAGAGGACAACTTAATGGAATTGGTTCTCTCCTGTCATCCTGTGGGTCCCTGAGATCAATCTCAGATTGTGAGTTTGGCTACAGGTGTCTTTCCCCACTCAGTCATCTTGCCTCCCTGAAACCAGAATAATTCTACGAAATAACACGAATCCACCAAGACCTTGGCAGCTGTATTTGAATGTTTTTCCCTACCAAAATTCATAAGTTGAAACCCATGAGAACAGCTCAAAGCAATCATTTATGAGTCACAAAGCAGGCCCTCACCAGACACTGAACCTGTGAGTGCCCTGATCTCCACTTTCCCAGCCTCCAGGGAAATATGTTTCTGTTGTTTCTAAGGAACCCAATTGAGGATATGTTCTTACAACAACTTGGCAGATGAAGAGTGTCTCTGGACAAGATTCCAGCATCTTCCTTCAGCCTTGCCTACTAGATTTCACTTCAGTGCACCGGGCTCCTTCCCACCTGCTCACCCCACACAGTCCTTTCCACTGTAGATGGAGGTTTCTGTCCTACCTGGTCCTGCAGCTGTTTAGCCCCCCCCCAAAAAAAACACACAAACACTTATAT